CATTTCACGTGTCCATCAACTTCCCATTTGTAGAACTTCCCAGATTCTCCTGTTGCCTGGTTTCATGATCCACTGGGGTGTTTCCTGTGGCCCACTGAGATGGATTTCATTCTTGTCATTGATTTGACAGTAAAACAGCCGTGTCAGCTTTGCAGCTCTCCTAAAGGTTTTATAGACTGAAATGGCTTGTTTCTAGGGAGGAGCATTGGTTGATATTGTGACGTGTTGTTGATTTCCAGGGCTCCAAACAGTGCCTTCCACATGCCTGGCACTGTCTGGGTGTGGTAGAGGGTCAGAAATCATAGTCCTTGCCCACAGCCACTGTTGCGTTTACTTGAGAACAGTAGTAAGAACCTTAGTGAACAGGGGTCCAGGTGTCCCTAAGGGACTGTCTAATGATATGAGTGCAAAGTGCTCTGTAAAGGTTAGTTATTGCTAATATTATTACGTAGTGATTAGGTTTTAGGCTATTGGTGGCCTCAGACCCCCTGCAAGGTTTCGTGTGCTGTTATGAGAGGTAAATCAGGTCAAAGTCAAAAAGGCAAGTAAACAGAACAGAGCAGGTGATTCATTAGCAAAGGGTTTAATAATGAAAGGTGCATTTCTACGACAGACATATTTCACGCCTGACAGGGTCTTTTAACATACCCTGAGGGAAGCAACTCATTTGCATGTTAAAGACTCACTGACACCTTATGGAAAACTCCAGCTCCAGTCTATTTAGACACAGTTTGGCTCCTATATCGTCTATTTTATGTATTTCAATTTCCACCTCTTTTATTATTGAGGACATTTGCACGAAAACTGGATCTTGTGGGTTGTGTCTGCTTTGCTGCTCCTTCTCCACCCAGAGATGGTCTCAAGGGTAGTGGTGGCCTCACTGCATACACGTGACAGGTGTGGAGGTTCGTGTAACAGGAAGAGCGGGTTTGGGGAAGGAAAGGGCTGGGAGCTGGTGTTGGAGGTGACAGGGATGACTATTGAATTATCAGCCCAGGGCATGTGATTTTCACCTGGGGACCTGTATTGTCACTGGCTCTTCATAGGCCTGATAGTGTATAATTTATCCATTCATTGATTCATTCATTCAGTAAATGCTTTTGGAGCACCTACTGTGTGCTAGGCCAGGATTTGGTGAAGTGCAACTTGAGGCCAAATCTGGACACATCCATTACTTTACGTATCCCCTCTGGTTGTCTTGCGCTACAATGCAGACGTCAGTAGTTGCATCAGACATGTTACAGCTTGCCAAGCCACAAATAATTACTATATGTCCTTTTATAGAAAAAGTTTGTCAGGCTTGGTGTCTCACGCCTGTAATACCGGCACTTTTGGAGGCTGAGGTGGGAGGATTGTTTGAGCCCAGGAGTTACAGACCAGCCTAGGCAACGTAGCGAGGCCCCACCTCTACCAAAAAAAAAAACCAAAAAAAAAAAAAACCAAAAACCAAGCTCGATATGACTATGCATGCCTGTAGTCCTAGAAGTTTGAGGTTACAGTGAGCTATGATCAAGCCATTTGCACTCCAGCCTGAGTGACAGAGCAAGACCTTGTCTTGGAAAACAAAAAAACTTGTCAGTCTCTATTCTAGGCAGAGAGAACAGCAAGTGTAAAAGCTCTGAGGCCAGAATGGGCCTGGCGTGTTTGAAGATTGGCAAGGAGGCCAGTGCAGTTGGAATGGGATGAGTAGAGTGGAAAGTGGCAGTGTCTGAGACCCTAGAGGAAATTCGGGGTCTGATCACATAAGGCCTTGTAGGCTATGCCAAGGCCTTGGTTCTCCATCTGTATGAGGTGGGAGCCATTGGAGAATTTAGAGGAGAGGAGTATCTAGTTGGATTTCCATTTCCATGTTGACTGGGGAAAAATTCACTCATTCATTCAATTATTTATTAGCAGTTGTCTTATTGTATTTACCTCTGATTTGATCTCGAGGGCTCTCTTAGAAGAGTGGTCATAAACTCTAGCCCTGCCTTGACAGAAATCAAGGATTGGTGGTGGATGTTTACAATGTGTCTTTCACAAGGTAGTTCTTTACCCTGGTGGACGGCCTGATGCCTAAGTGTCCGACTCATGACCAGGTGTCCTTCCCACAGGAAACTTGGCAGACACACTTGTAGCTGTCATCTGCCCTGTGTCCAACTTATTCCTACCAAGATAGCCCCTCTGTAAGAGAGGCCTGGTTAGGACAGAAGTCAGGTTTGGGAGTGCAGGTCAGGTGAGAGACAGGAGGCTGTACAACAAAACACGTGAAAGAACAGAAGCTTTTTGTTACTCACAGATCCACGAGAGAGGAGGTGTCCATGAGGGCCAATGCAAGTTTGGAGACAGCAGGAGTTCAACCAGTGGGCAGGGTGCGGGGGGAACAGAGAGAAAGAGAGAGAGAGATCTGTGGCCAAATGCTTTTTTGGTGTCCAGAGTGTTACCCAAGCATGTTTCCCTTGGGGAGTTCTAATGGGTGGGTTTAGGGCAAGCAGACACAAGCTCTGTGGAGTCGTGCTGTGACTGAGGGGTGGTCACTGAGGCATATCTGCTCAGTCCACACTGGGTGTCGGGGTCAGTGAGGTTGTATGAGTAGTCCCTTCGGAGCTGTCACTGGGAGGCGGTTGTATTAATAGAAGGCACTCAATCACACTGAGGAACTAGGGGAGGTAGAGACCTGGAAACTGTCAAGGGTTTGACGTGCTTCCGGCATGAGTACGTAAAACTTGTATTTCAAAATGGATGGCAACTTAAAATTATTGGAATTCACCACATGTATTTCTGTATTTATTTATTAACAAATTCTGCCCTTTGTATCTAGTGGAAAAGGCAGATGTGAGACCAGATCATTACAGATAAGCAGTGTGTGATGAGACTAGGGCAGAAAGAATGAGGAATTCCAAGCCATTGGCTCACAAAGCGTTTCATGGGGGTGATGAGGGATTTAGCATGGAGAGATATTCTGGGAGACGAAGCTGGAAAGGCGGGTTGGGGTGAGAATGTGGTGGGCCTTGAATGTCTTGCTGGGCAACTGGAAGTTTGGTAGGTGGAGGAGGTGGGGATGTATGTGTGCACTTGAGGATGGTGGTGATAACAGAGTGGCAGAGTGAAGATTGGTGGGATGTGGGAAGTCGGTTTGGAATGGGAACCGGTTTAGTAGTTCAGGCAAGAGATGATGGCCTGCCTCCTCCTCTCTATTGATTGTTCAAGGTTGTGCCAAATCCTGGTCCCCAAGGTGCAAGTTCTACATATTCTCTTCAGCTTTTCAGAGATGAAGAAATAAAGTCTAAAATAACAAGGAAAAGAAGTCTCATTTACAGAGCATGTTAGGCATTATGTTAAAGCAGCATCTCATTTAATTATGATGATAACCCTATGAGGTTGGTCTTCTCGAGAGCTCCCTTTTATAGATGATTATGGAGGCTCCAAGAGGTTGTAACTTGCCTGTGTGACTGCCACACAGCTGGTGAGCCATCGAGCCAGGCCTCTGCCCAGCTCCAGAGGCTGGGCTCTTAACCGGAAGTTGCTCTACGCTGCCTTCTTAACCTAGGCTTCTCTGGGTGCCCTGCAGGAAGGGTCCATGGGTCACCCTGATGATTTTGAAGGAGGGTGTGTAAGGAGCTGAGGTCACTCAGCCAAATTTTAATTCCTGCTGCTTGGTCTGATTAGGCACCTATGTCTTGGTGGAAACAAAGTAGAGGGCCTCCCAGATTATAGGCGTGAGCCGCTGCTCCTGGCCTCAAAATAGACTTTAAAGAACATGAAGACAAGGCTTGGGGCCAGGTGTGGTGGCTCACACCTGTAATCCCAGCACGTTGGGAGGCTGAGACGGGAGGATTGCTGGAGCCCAGGAGTTTGAGACCAGCTTGGGGAACATAGTGAGATCCCCATCTCTACAAAAAACAAACGAAAATGATAAAATAAAAAAAGAGATGTTTGTAATAATACAAAGGGGAAACAGAGGCATACAGCAGGGAGGTGATGGGTAAGGACCCATTCCGGAGCATAAGCACGCAGGGTGCAGGGTTTGCCCCTGCAGGTGGCCTGGTGGTCTGCTTCTCCTGTGTGGTACTTCTCTCTCCTCTGGCAGCTGCATTGTGGTTAAGGATTTTAGTCTGATGTAGGATGCTCAGGAATGAAGGACACCAGCCATTTGGTACAGTGGCCCCAGAAAATGACTGTGCAGTCACCCGGTGGACTGAACAGGTGCAAATAGAGTGAGGAGAGGTCACAGTGACTGAGAGTATGAGTTTGGTCAAACAGATCAAATCAGCAGGTGCACACTGAGCTCCGAATCATACAGCCCCTACAGGACTGTGAATGGACAAAGGAGTAACAGTCATGGTGTTTGCCCTCAAGGAGCTTACAGTCGAGACAAGGGGCAGTCTACTCTAACCAAAGTAAGTACTTTGAAAACCAACCAGATGTGGAGGGCTCCCCTGGCTGCTTCTGACCAGCTGCCCTCTTTTGACCCGAGCAAAGAGGCTAATGATGCCTGTGTGCGTGGTGGTGTAATGATGATTTACAAGTAGCAATGGTTAACATGCTCTTCTGCTTTTCCTCTCTAAAATAGCATCCTTCCCCTCTGCTTTTTTTCCTCAGTGTTTATTACCAGCTCTGATAGTCTAATATATATCTGTTTGCTTATTATTTGTCATCCACTCTAGAGTGTAAGCTCCACGTGGGCAAAGACTTAAGTACAGGGCAGAGAGTGTTTTGTTTACTCTTTGCCCTGTACCTAGAACGATGCTTGGCACTATTGAAGGAAGAAGGACTTTGAGAATTGACTTGTGCCAGGTACTAAGCTAAGCATTTTATGTACATCATCTCATTTTATCCCAACAACTAGAGGTAGGTATCATTCTGTTTTATAAATGAAACTGAGGCCCACTGAAATTAAGGAAATGACCCAAGGTCGTACAGTCTATAAGTGACAGAGATGGGATGTGAATCCCAGTTTGACTAACTACGAAACCCTCAACCACTACTCTTCCTTGACTTTCTTTTTTTCTGCAGGGTTTGGGGACATGGCCAGAAAGGCTCTCAAGCTTGCTTCATGGACCAGCATGGCTCTTGCTGCGTCTGGCATCTACCTTTACGGTAACAAGTACCTGGACCCTAATGACTTTGGCGCTGTCAGGGTGGGCAGAGCAGTTGCTACGGTAGGTTTTTCTCATTTTGCAGGTAGCAGAGGAACCGCGGTATTACTTGCGGGTGTTCAAATGTGTAGCAGATGAACATGCCTGCCATACACATATGCCCTTACATGTGTCAGGGCTCCATCTACACAGTTGCACAGGCACGGATACATACACAGCCTCTGTCATCTTGGAGTTAAATAGAGTGCGATTGCGTGGGGTCTCTGTTCTGAAGCCTTTACATTTTAGGTTCTGTATCTTATTTTAGTGACAGACTTAGAGGGTCAGCGAACGCACGCTGAAGGAAGACTTAGCAGCTTTGATTCAGTTCCACCAGAAACCTTGGTCTCTCTCTAATGAGCTAGTATGAACTGTTCCTGAAGCAGGACTTATTCTCAGAGTATCTAGGCCTCAGAGAATTTTGGGAATCGCCTTTGATCCCCCCACTGACAGAGAATCTGAGTTGAGTACTTGACATTTAGAGGTTTTCTCCAGTGGCTCAATAGGAACCTCATCCTGATGTGGTCATGTCCTCTTAACCCTGCTGACAGTGACTGTTCCAGACTTTCCTACATAATTGCCCCATGGGTGGGCAGATGACCACATGCCTTGGGCGTTCTTTCCTCTTTTATCTGCTGCAGGATGAACTCATCCTTTCTCCCCCTTGGTGTAGATTCACTCTGACACAGTCTGTTCTGGTTGTTGTTTCACCATTTCCTTAATTCTCAGTGTTGTCAGGGCTCTTCAAGCCTGGCTCAGAGGGTGCCTGTCCTCAAGGGTGAGCTGAAGCATAGAATCAAGACAGACAAATGGACTTTGGATAAACAGCCTATGAACTATGAAATAATTTCCAAGTGCTTACTGAGTGCCTTTTTTTGGGCCCAGCATTGTCTTTTATGCTTTGAGGGGTAGAAACGAAGTGCCTCACCTAGACCCAGCTTTGAAGGAGCTTCTGTATAAGGAATGCACACATAAATGGGTTACAAACAATCTGAATCCGTGCATTGTGTCAGGATGACTGCTGCTATGGTCAGACATAGGTATGAGCACCGTGGCCTGGGAGTCAGGATGACTGTTCTAGGGGAAGCAGAATTTGAATGGAACCTTAGAGATTTCGATAGCTGGAAAGGAGGGAGGAAGTTACTGACCAGTGGTTTGGAAACCAGCCACTAAGCTGTCCATTCTTCAAAGGCCACGCTCTGGTCTTGATCACCCTTGAACACTGTTCCGTGATCTGGTCTTGCTCGTGATTGGTGTTCAGCAAGTATAAGTTGAATGGAATAAAACTTTGGGGAGTGTAGACAAAGGAATGGACTGTTCTTCATATCAACTTTATAAGCCCCCTAATGCCTAGGGTCCCCAGTTGCTGAATTCTGAAAAGGAAGGTTTGGGCTAGATAATCCCTAAGGCCTCTCTGTGCCTTAGATATCTTAGAGCCTGTAATGTTCTGATCCACCAAGGATAAAGGGACCTCTCTGGGAGTTTTGGCTGGTAGTGCAAACATAAATATAAAATAATGTTTATTTGTGATACAGAGAAGGGGGATAAGTTTGTCCAAGGGCGTGCATTCAACTAGTGTTTATCGAACATTTATCTGTGTGCCTGGCATGTAAAAGGTGCTGGGGGTTCCATGATGAACAGGGAGGACATGCTCCTGGGCTCTTCTAGAGCTTAAATTCTATCGAGGGAGAAACAATCAACAATCCTGTAAACAAGGAAACACATAAGAGATAATTTTGGATGGTGATTTGTTATGATAAATAATTGAGAGTTCCTGCCTGGGGAGGGGAGTTGAGCCTCTCTGCAGAGGTGGGATCTGTGCAGAACCCTGAATGCCAGGAAGAAGCCAGCCAGGCTAAGATGTGGGGGCAGAGAATCTTAGGAGAGGGACTGGCCACTCCCCCAGACATAGCAGCTCATGTTAGAGGCCTGCAGCTGCAGGGCTTGGGCAGAGTATAATACTGAGTAATATTATACTTGAAGTCTGAGTACTGAACTTTTCCCTCCCTTCGGTTCACAGACAGCCGTCATCAGTTACGACTACCTCACCTCCCTGAGGAGTGTCCCCTATGGCTCAGAGGAATACTTGCAGTTGCGATCCAAGGTAAGGGACCAATGGGACCCACCTGAGCCAAGCCAGGACTGGGTGAGTCCTGAAGCGGCTGTACAGCTGGCAAGCTTCCTGTGTGCAGCTGGAGGTGGGTGGAGGGCAGTGTAGGGGGCTGAGGCTGGGGCCATTGGCCATGAGGGGTTTGAAGGAAGGAGAGGAGGACCACCTCCTCCTTCACATGGAGGTGTTTCAGTGCCGATGGGTGGGGGCTGTCAGATGGGCATCAAGCTGCATCCCATAGTACTGAGGTTATTAATCTGTGAGATGCTATTGGAGAGGCCAGTATGTGTTTCTGGGGTGTACAAGTGTCTGGGATGACTCAGGAGGGATGTAGGCTCTGTCCCTGAGACAAGTCAGCTGGCTTCTAAACTGCTTTGTCAGGCAAAACCCAATTAAAAGAGATTAAATGCTTTCCTATCCTCTGAAGGCTACTCTGGGGCCTCTTGTTGGCCTCTGAGTGGAGCTGTCGACCCCAAACTCTCTGTTCTCACTTGGAGCAGAGTAGTTGATGTCAATACTACATTTAGACATCCCAGAGAGTTGGGGGATCAAGTAGGAGGGCATTTTTGTGGATGTAGGTTGAGTTTGAGGTCAAGTGCAGATACCTTTGGCCCCTCCAGAGAGAGGTTTGCAATAGAGCGGCATGCCTTTGCTCAGGTGGTCCTCTCACCTAGGGGTGCCCTTAGCCTTTTATAAAATTCCTAGTCATCCTCCTGGACTCAGCTCAAATACCCCCCTCTGTGATGCTTTCCTTCTCAGTCATTCTATGTGGATGGAATAAGTAATCTTTAAATCTTTACTTAAACTTTTTATTATGGCCATTTCAACCACCCACAAGGGTAGAGAGAATAGTACAGTGAATCTTGGTGGAACTGTATCCAGCTTCAGAAATTATCAACATTTTGCCCATCTTCTTAGTCATCTACCTCCTCCTTTATTCATTCCTTCATATTTTTTTATTCATTTTTTTATTTGTTATTTTTGCTGAAATACTTAAATGCCAGTCTTAGGCACCATATTGTTTCATCTGTAAATACTTCAGTGTGTGTCTTGAATAGATGAGGACCTTTAAGGAGACATAACCACAATGCCGTGATCGTACCTAACAAAATTAACAATTCCTTAATAATCTCTAATAGCTAGTCCATGTTCAGATTTCCCTCATTGTCACCAAAATGTCTTTTTATAGTTAGATTGTTCGAATTTGGATCTAAACAAGGTACCTATATTATGTTTGGGCGATATTTCCTAAATCTTTTAAAATCTGTAACATTTCTTCTCTCTCCCTCTACTTTTTTCTTTTTTGAGCTACTTGCTTGTTGAAGAAACCAGATCATTTATCCTGTAGAATTTTCCACATTCAGGATTTGGCTGATTGCATCTTCAAAGTGTTATTTAATGGGAAATACATTTGAATGGTACACAATTCAAAATATATCATATTTGAAACATACAAAATGACCCTCCTACCTGTGTTCCTTAGGTACTCAGTTTTCCTGCCGGGGGGCAATCATTACTTCTTGTGTATCTTTCCAGAGATATCTTCCTATTTGAACTTAATTACTTTATCTTTATTCTTGCCACATATGATAGTTGGTTACATGTCTTTTTCTCTTTTTAGACTATCAGTTCCTTTAGATCAGGAAGTGGGTCTTACTTTTTGGATCTTTTACCTCTAGCAATGGTACGTTGGACTGAGTTAATTTAATATTTCAGTGCCAGGCTTTACCTGCTGACTCCTTGCCTTTTGAGAGGCCTCAGAAAGAGTACAAGGTTTGTAGTCAGAAGACCTGAGTTTGTGCCTTGGCTTCAGGAAATTCATTTAGCCTTTTGGAGCTGCCATTTCTCTTGTTTGTAAACTAGAGACAGTTATACTACTTACTTAGGATTGTATAGATGATATCTGAGTTAGCACCTTGTGAAATACAAGGCAGGTATCAAAACTAAGTCAGATGTCTCCTATAAGTTATGTTCCATGAGGACAGAGACTTGGTCTGTGCTGCGTATCTCCACATATGCAGCACTGATAGCCGTAACCAGGACATAGTAGGTCCTGAGTAAGGGTTTGTTGAATGAGTGAATGAATGAATGGGTGAAATGTTAGTTTTTATGGAGGATCTCAAAGCCCCTGCCTCTAAGACTTATGCCGCCCTGTTTTTCCCTGGCCCCCTTTCTCTATCTAACCAGTGCTATGGACCTTGGAACCCCCCAGAGTGACATTCTGCAGGGGGCTCCAGGCCAGGACACAGGGGCAAGGCCTCTGCCTTGCGGAATCTGCAGAGCAGATGGACGATCAGTATTGTGGAGTCAGTTGCCCATCATGTGTAAGTCATCTGAAAGGCAGTGGTGCCGCAGCTCCTGGAGAAGTTGACAGCTTTTGGGGATGCAGTAAGGAAAGTGCAGCCTGGCATTTGACAAGAGGGCAGCACGTGGTGGCTGGCACCAGATAGCAGGGTGTAGACTGGTCTCTGGAGTTATGCCTGGGCAGGGGGAGCTGGCTGGCACTAAAGAGCACGAGTAAATACCGCAGGAGTGTTTTCTTCCATCAGAACGCTTATCCCTTCTTGTCAGCAGGGCTGATAAAGGAATGAGTGAAGGGTAAAACATAATTATCTCACCTGTCAAGGCAGCATCTCTAGGTCCCAGAGTATGTCAGAGCCAGGAAACTAGCTCGGCAGGCGGTGACTTCAAGCAGCACTTCCAAGGTTGGCACTGGCAGGCTGGGGTCTCAGTGACTCAGCTTTGCATCCAGGGGGCTGGGAGCCAACGTGCAGAAGTGTGTTCTAGAGGCACAGTAGCCCTTTGCTAGGCAACCGAGGGGCTGGGGAGGGGCTCAGGTGCTTTGGAGAATCAGATTCTTGGTGCTTAGGATGCTTATAAACTGAGATGTATGTGAGCTGGCCTGTACATAGAGCAGAAGGAAGTCATTGCTGGTGTAGACATCCAGGCAATGGGCTGGAAAAGGCAGGATGAGTTGATTCTGACTAAGGGGTTGGGATCTAGTGGATACTTGTTAATTTTGCAGTTCAAGAGCCATTCTCGTTTTGGGAAACAGCATTCAGACTTTCGTTTGGGGAGTTACCGTTTCTCAGGTACACTCTATGAGATTTGGGTAGGGCTCACTCCACCTTCATTAGCCAGGCAATCAGTGGAGTCTGTTCTGCTGGCCCTAGAGATTGATTTAGGGATGGGCACTTGAGCCAGTTCTGGCCAGTGAGCATCAGATCCAGGACTTTTTTGGGGATAGTAGCTCTCTCTTTTCTGCTGGCTTAGCTGAGAGGGTAGGATGTTGGCTTAGAGCTGTTGGCAGCCATCTTGCCACCATGAGGGGAAAGCCCATCTATGAATGGAGCTAGTGTTGCAAAGAGATATGTTATTTGAGTCCCTAGATCTGGCTGAGCCTGAAGCTAAACCACCACTGGGATTTGTACTTACTTCTGCCAGGAAATTCCCTTTTTGCTGAAGGTGGTTTGAATTCAGTTTACTGTTACTTGCATTCAGTGAGTCTTGATATACTGGGAATTCTTGGAGAAGCATAAATAGAATTTTGATAGATCACAGAAGTGCCAATAACTCAAGGGGAGAAATGAAATTCAAAAATTCTAGTGCTTAATGAAGGTGAGGAGAGGGTTGGATGGAGCTGAGTAGAATTCAAGCCATTTTGGGCCTGGAGCCAGGTCCCCAGACTCCTGGTCCACTGCCAAGCATGTTGGCTTTCCTATCTGTAGTGTGGTGGCAGTGGCCTTTGCCCCTGCTCAGTTTGTAAGAATGCAGATGAAAAGCTCAGCTTAATTAGACATTGTGGGCTGGGTGTG